GTAATTCCATTTTCACACAAGCAGTCTTTGCTTGTGCCACCGAAGGACTAGGTGAGAGCAGTTCGGCGACAAGGACGCATTTTGCACTTTTGCTCCTTTTCTATCGATGTGTCGACCCATCTAGAGAGCTATACACTTCATGAGCCTACAAAAGGAGAGACGTCCTAACATCGCTTGGCGAGCTTGCTCCTGCTTCATTAGCCACAGGTTTCACCAGAATGAAACTTGTGAATTAGAACTGATAAAGCAGCTAATGTGCAATGTACCCCTCCTCACCCCCCCCCCCCGCCGTTGCCGAACTGCCCCGACTAGGTGAAGTGACTGGTGTTTTCCTGCTACCATTCGACCTCTTACGGAAAAACGTAATGTCAGATTTGATTGGATAAAGTTTTCAAGGAGCGTTCTTGTTGGACAAGAGTCACCTTATTTCATTTGTGCTACTGCGAGTTTCTGAGCTCTATATGAACATATTTGTTGCTAAGGAATAGTTTTTCTGAGGAAGCCCGAGACGAGACGCGGAAATCGACTTCGTCGTGGAAAAAGGGCAATCATCCACTTGAAGGTTTTCATGGAGGTTTTGAATATCACACGAATTCTATGTAATTAGAACGAGAGTGATGTGCATACCGTTCTGTGGTGCTTCAGTACCTCTTGGAATTTCTCTCTATTTCTCATCTTTTACGAATTAAAATAACATTTCTGATTCAAACGAATTTACAAATTGGAATAGTACTTCTAATTAAAATGCAACCGCAGCATAATTTATCTGATCTGTAGGCACTGTTCTAGTGCGTTTTCCAAAACGGAGCCAAGAGTGACAATTGAAAATGCAAAGTTCCTGGCTGGCGGTGAGGTGAGGCGAATATGGTAGAACGTAAGAATCCAAGCCGATTTGTTCACTTCGCCTTTATTCCTCCACATTCTGAGTTGTTCTGACTAGTGAGAAAAACTGTGAGAAAAACTTGGCGCTGTTCGGCTTGGGAAGAGCATTTTGCGCTTCGATTTCTCCGGCTCTTTTCGGCTAAATTAGATGTCTTATCACGGTGGACTGTAGACTCTCGATCTACTGAGAACAAAGCTCACGGTATTGCATAGCTTTGCAGGATTCAAGCGGTCTACGCAGGAAGGCGTCCACCAAGTAATTAATGGAACAGTTAACTGCCTCACCAAGCCGAACTGGCACCAGGAAATCAAAGTTTATATAATCCAACTGCTTTCCTTGTCGAGCTTTTTTGCTTAAGCTGCAGCAAGCCCGCTGCAGTTGCCTTAGTGCACTCTCAAACATGGCTTAGGGATTTTCATCGGGATGTCTTCAGTAATACGATCTTGGCTCAACAAACTCGGCTAAAGTTTTTAGGACGCGATTACTTCCGCTGTAGAGTCATTTATGAAGTGTCCAGACCAGAAAATTCACTGAAAACTTGGCATAAAGATTTAATTCGACATTCTTAGAGATACGAATATGACATTCATTCTTGGCCCTTGCCAGCTTATTATCAAGCCGCAGCATAATTCGTAGTGTCCTCCGTTAGCGCCAGCGCCACGAATAAATGTCATATTCGTAATCAGGATGTTGAGTAACTTCCGGATACAAGTTTTCAGCGGATTTGGTGATGGCACTTCATAAATGACTCCACAGCGGAAAGTAATCGCTGTCCAAGCGGCACTAGCCCACAAACTCACCCTAGGACGACTCCGTATCCTCCTCCTTTATCCTTCTTAATCTGGAAAGCAACTCATTTGCTCTGTTCGCTTTCCCATTCCTTTTTCCTATTGTGCCATTTGCTATTTCACCTTTTTATCTGTCTCTCCCTGGAGTAAATGTGACGGTCGAACTGAAACTTAGTAAAAGGTAATCTAAATGTTATGCTGCACCTCGGTAATTTGGAAACTGTATGTATGCCACTGTGCAATTCGGAATATCATGGCTGACAATTACCAGGAGCGGCCAATCATAATAAATACTGTAAAATGGATTTTTCCTGAAAAAACACACCGAAGTGCGTCGAGGTTGAAAACTGAAATTTTTTTGTTAACTACTTTTTCCTCCTTCATCAATTATCACCACACACTCTCACCCTTTCCTCTAACTCTGTAATTTCATGGCATTTCATGTGGTACTAACCTTCATGAGCTCTCTGTTGTCGCTGCTAACAGGTTTCGCCCTCCTACATATTTTGAAAGTTTCAGCAATTTTTCGCAATATGCTAGCAAGCAAAACAAGAAGCCTGAATTTCAACCAGACGCTGGAGGAGCTTGCTCTCTACTGGGCGGAACAACAAGGCCGGTAGGTGATTGATCCAGGCATTACAATACACTTTAGTTTTACACCTCGATCAAAAACTAGGATCTGAACAGGAATATCTTACACGGGCCTTGCTGAATTCTTGATTGTGCTATCAATCAAAAATAGCAGTGAAGGGCGGGAGACGAGGTACCTTGCATAAGCAGGCCGGAAATCGAGTCCCGGGTTGGTTTCCCGCTCGCAGGATTCTTCCCCGTCAGATTCTTATTGCCAGTGCGGATTGAGAAAGGGCGGCCATAAGCTTGCAGGAGGTATTTGAATACTGACTGTGTGACACTTGTGTAAAACCACAATGGAGACAGAGACTTCTACCCAACTTAAAAGAGAAAACAGCCCCCGGGTTGGTGAACTTACCAGTTTCAGAATAGCACTCGATATCTGGCTGACCCTGCCCTTTGAGAAGAACCAAACTTTCTCGACCCTGCACCGACTGTGTGATCATCTCGCCCTTTGCTCTCAACACAGCAAGGGACACTTCAAGTTCTCAGCGCTAGCGTAACGCAGTTTCAGAAATACTCAGACCCCATAATGTTGCCAAGGACCAGCAAACAGTGGACCGAAATCTGCTCACTCCATTTTGTCCTGGAACCGCCTCGAGAAACTCACAACTGAGTAGCAGGTTAGGAGGATGGAGGTCAGGCAATGCAGTGCGTGAGGCAAAAAAGGCCAACTTTTCAACGGACCTGCGCGAAGCAACATCTTCCGCGCCTCATGAGAAGCCGAAAAAAATGAAAACTCCTGCTCAGTGGGTTTTCATTCACTTCAGCGATTTCTTCATCTAATTTTTTCACCGTTTCAGAGCAGGGCGGGTTGGCTACTGCGGCTAGACCACCAACGAGACACGGCCGGGAATCAGTGAGCAGTTCAGAGGAAAACAGGGTGAGCACTTTTTGAGTCTAATACTAGTAATACTAGCTTCAAACACTAATCGGTGTTAAGTTGTCCCGTCCGCCAGATAAGCACTTGTGAACACCCCTTGTCAAGTACAGGTCTCTCACATCATACATTAGAGCAGGCCCTCGAAGTGACTTCAACTCATAAGAAGTAAGAGGGCTTAGGATGGGACATTTAAATTGCAACGTTGCACGATGCGGCGTTGAATATGCCTCCACTTTCACGAGCTGAAATGAGGGTGCTGAGATAATCGTGCTATCAGTGACGTGCAGAGAGGTTCTTTAGACAACGCCTGACGAGAGCAGCGACTACGATGGTGTGGGCGGGTGCTTGGAAGACCTGAGGCTACTCGATAAGAGATGAACCCAGTAGCACTTCAGAGTAAACGGCACGGCAAGCGACTACGTGAAGTATCAAATAAAAGATAGGCGTCGTTCAAGGGACCTTGCTGATGTGAAGGGCACGACAGAAGTTGCCCTGGACGGGAGCAGGTGGCCTTGTCCAATAGGTACAGCGGGCACCGCGTGCAGGTCTAAGGCTAGGATGTGCAAGAAGAAGAAGAAGCTCGAGAGAACATCATGGATAGTGACCAATGATTCACACGTATGATTGCTATCCCATAGGGGATTAGTGAGTCTTGAATAACAGAGTAATGAATGCATGATAATGTCTAACGAACTGTCCAACGGAAGTCCGCGGACTGAGTAAATCTATACCTAGATACGGCGCATTTCGACTTGTCTCTTTCATATCATACACCGGCACCATAGTTGAATTCTACTGTATTCAACGGGTTTTCTGCTGAAAAGGCCTGAACCATGTCGTACTCTGAGAAGGCTGGGGTCGATATACTTTTCTCTTTGGCATAAGCCCATTCTGGGGATGCGTCACGCGTGCTACCCTCTTCTCGAGGAGAATTTTGAGGTCATTTGATCGATACAGTGAGTCGCAGCGACTGCCGAGGTACAAGTCAGAATTTTTATCACCTTAGATGAACCCAGTAGCATTTTATCGCTCTCTCAGGGTCCGGAAAGGGGATTATGCGGATGAATTTTGTTCATGATTTGTCCATCGACCGCTTGGGTAGCAAACAGAACCCAAGGCCAAATACGCTGAACTTTTTTCTTCACTTTCTTATTCTGCTGAGGGAAGAGGTGTTGCAGTGGCAGGTGGCATGCATACCATGCGCGCAGTCCGGAGGTCAAATCCCGGATCCGGCTCAGACTAACCAAGCATTCTTTCCTCCTAGGACGCATTGAATTGGTATCAGTTCCGTTTAGAAGCACAAAACACGGGTATGTGACAAGAGGATCGTAATTTGCCGCGCTGCTGGGCGTCGCGTGCGACGTCCCGCCCGCAAAGGACGATGGTTTCAGGCAGTAGATGGCGACAACATGCAATTAAGGACCGAAAACAGTAATGAGTGTCTACGATGACGGGGTCTACATGAAGTCCGGTGCTTCATTCGACAGGTTAAAACGAGTTATGAAAACGCCGCGCCCATCGCCGCGCGTGGCGGTGCGGCGAATTACGATCCTCTTTACCGTCTCCCCACACTGACTTTTACACAGGCTGGCCCCCGCAAGTCATTGTATAGCTCGCATCGCATTTAGTGAGCGCTTTAATGATTCTGAAATGAAGTAGGACGCCTACCGCAGAAGGGAATGATCGACGGCGGAGACTTCATCCTTCTTCCTTTTACCTAGGGTTCGGTTATTTGTTCGTTTCTCTTTGGGTTACTTGATGTTACTCATCAAGTAATCTCTGTTGCTATGTTATTTTCGGTTGCGGTTTCCCTCGGCCTGCAGAACAAAAATAACTACAGTTGATATCGTCGTAAACAGAAGCGGCGTTGCCAGGAGAAAGCGAAGAGCCTACTTCGCTGCGTTCCTACCACTGACTGTTTTCTTCTGAATCTACTATGTAGCCGGCCATATTGATAAAAACGCAGTCGAAGCTTCACAATGTAGGCGCATGAGGTGAGCAATATTTAAAAAGGCTATTGTAGAGTCATGACCACTGGTCAAAACGATTTCTATTATTCCAACAAGTACGAAGACGACGAATACGAGTACAGGCATGTCCATGTTACTAAAGAGGTCGCCAAGCTCATACCGAAAAATCGTCTCATGTCTGAAACAAGATCGGAAGTCTTGAATTCAGCAGTCACCAGGATGGATGGTGCCACTATATGATCCATGGCCCGGAACGGCATGTCCTTCTGTTCCGCCGTCCGCTACCGAATAAGAACAATGTCGCCGGTAAGAATTCGACCCAAGCACAGGTTGGCGTGCGTTGATACGGTTTCTTACCGGGAAGGTCGTACTTGAAGTGATATTTCTTATATTTTCATTACCTCTCTCCTCACTATTCACTTGTATCTCGCTCACGTGCATCTCTGCCGCCACATACGGTCCATTCATATATTTGAAAAAAAATGTTATCAGCTACCTGAATGATCCCATTACTTGAGACGAGTTGCTCTGAATATTAGCTGTAAGTTCCCCACCGAAGGTGTTCCATAGTCCGTCAGAGAAGAAGAAAGTGGATGAGGTCCTTTGTAGCATACACAACAGGGCCCTCCTTTTTTAACACTGTACTCAACACACTCATGTTAGACAACATCTTGAGGATGCCAAGAGACTGCAAGCACAGGAGTAAACCGAAAGATGAACATTATGGTGGGAAATAAGCTAAAAGTGCAACTGAAATGCCTCAATGATTCAACTTTTATTTTAATTCAGTATATATTTACGGCACATCAATGTAGAGAAATAAAATAATACACTTGTAAGAAAGATCGTATTCAGGAGCCTGCAGCAGCATCAACGGAGACACAAAAAAGCATCGATGCAAAAAATACCGAAGTTATGGAGTCGAACGAAGAAGACGATTTCCTGGCGAAGCTGTAAGTTATGGTCAATTCAGAGCTATTTGACAATTTCTCAAGACTGGTTTTTTTCAATGTTCAGTTCAACTTTTTCAAAGAAGAAGTTTCGAAAAACCAAACAAATTGGTGCTGTCTAAAATGGGTGCTTATAATGGGCAGCTGCCGATATTCTTGGTGGGGGTACACTTCCACTCCAAGGCATAAGATAAGACACGCTAGTTTGTTGTGTGCTCAAAATAGTAGCAGTTGTAATCCTACGTCAGTAAGAAAATGGCGAAAAAGGGAAGCTAAATGGATAAAACCTACAGAGACGTTTGTTTTGCATTGGACAAGCAATTTTGAATGAGTTTCCCGATGGCCCGTGCCATTTACCCCTTTGATAGATACGGCTGTACGTACAGATACATAGACTCCTTACCCTTAAGACGGAACGGGCGTGGCATTCAAACAAGACTCAGAATGAAGCAATAAGAGTACCAGCGTTTATGTGACCGAGCGGCCATTTGCAGGCTGGTGGGGGTGCGAGACGGCATGTTGCACTTTGGTTAGGTGCTCCACGCCGACTCCTAAGGGGCACAATAGGCTATGCTAGGCCTCCACCCTGTTCGCCTTGTCGTTATATCCTGCCCCTTGCTTTTAATGCTTCGCGCTTCAGATTCTTCTGGATATTGTATGCGGGTATAGTCGTGCAGGTGGAGAACACTGAATACCCTGAGGTTAATTTCCCCCCCGGAGTTTTTCATGGTCTAAGTCAATATAATGGGTTATATAACAGTTCATCGCGAATTGCATGTATAACAGCTACATAGAGCCAGCTCCAAAAGTTGAGTCAGTATCATTCAGCGCAGGTTGAAATGAGTGTTAATAGCCACCACCTAGTTGACCTGTATCCGAATTCATTAATTAGTCCATCATCGTGCAGTCTCGCCTGAAAAAGAAACAATTATATGATGCTCAACGGAAACACGTTGTTTTAGTGCCTCGCTTTTTTTTAGAATCTGCCAGTGCAATCCTCGTTAATGTACTAAGCCACCGAGCTTCGCCGAGCTCAGACATTCGGCGCGCTCTCCTAACGGATACTGCGCGCTCCGCCGCGCTTCCTCGTTCAACACATTTCATTACCGCCCAAGCAGCTCTTCTTTTACCCGAACAGAGTCCATTTGACCAATAGCATCATACCTGCTCCTTTCAACACTATTACGGTGTATGGAGTGGTGGTAAGGAGCGTTGATCAAGTGGACAGATGAAGAAAAACCGGTTATTAGTCGCAAGCATTTGAGTCTTACGAATTAGTAGGCCGCTGTCAAGCCACACCCCCCGCGCGCCGCCATCAAAAGCCGGTGCCGTAATAAAATCCAGCACGTTCAATCTTCGAGTGCTTCTGGAACCGCTTGAAGAGATTTGAGGCTGGCCCGCTCACCTTGACACTTGCACTTCTCCCACACACAACAGCATCGGTCGCCTTAAAGCGTCTTGCTTTGGAATGCACTCCCGCATTCAGCAGTGGAACGCGTCAAATGGCCCTCACTAAGGTTGTTGATGGAAGATAATTGGTAGCGATAATGAAATGAGCGTTCATAAATCTCTTAAACCACCCACTTTGCAGTTTGGTAATAGAGCTAGCTCACCGTCATACATGCATTCGTACCAATAACAGCATGAATGATTTCTGTGCAGATCTATTGAGAATCGTTACTAACTTGTAGCATATCTATCGATTGTTGTTGTGAGGGCGTTGAAGCGAATTCCCATTAACCGATTGTCACTTCACTCCTATCACTCGTCCACTTCGCAGATAAACACTCCGTCCCTATCGCTATCATGATTCACCCTGTGTCGCCTCTCGAATCCGAAGTCTCCACGTGCTGAATCCTGCGTTACCGAATTATGACGCCTCCCTTAGCGAATCGCCGCACACTCTTACTACTCGTTATCACTTCCTGTCACCCGCCAATGTTTCCCGCCATCACTCTAATAGATAAACCTCTCGGAATCGCAAGACACCACTTTCCTGTGAGGCCGCACTGTACTGGTAGTGCTTCCGCTTTTCAAAAGGTCCCATTATCAGACTCTCTATCAAACTGATATCACATACCCTGCTCACCTAGCCAATAAGTTTTCGTACCCACCCCACATATCTTCACTGCTCGACCAACGGCCATCTGTTTGCCTTGCCACCGGTCGTTATGGATATTGGTGACCCCCCTTCTAACGCCTCTTATCGTATCTTATCAGCTGATATCACTTCCTGTCACCCACCAATTGTGTTCCCGTCACACCGCCTACATCACTTCTTGAAATCAAGTCCATGTTGGCTGCGGAACGCGTCGCTGAATGAAATTCGTGCGAGACAGACAGACGCCACACACAAACAGACAAACACACACACGATTAACAGACATAAACTTAGCGGAATTATATAATAGTAAGGATAAGCATGGACAACACAGTTCTGCTGGAATAGCCGATGGAGGAATAATTAAATTCGCGTTTGTGTGACTAGATATCCTGAGCATCTGACACCCAGATGGAAAAATGACAAACAGAAAGAACTAAGATCAGATAGAACAGACAGGCACAGTTGAACATATTCCTCCCGCGCTGCTCACAACAATACGGAAAGTGGCCTTGAGTCGTATTCGATGATGAAGTGCCTTTGAGCTGTATTCGGTGATAAAGCGGACGAGATCTCTCGACCACTCAAATAATGCGTGGAAGTAAATCGCATCTTGCCTCACAAAGAATTCCACTTCATGTGTCGGTACATTCCATTTGGAGGTTGACGATTCCAACGATCCTCCGCGATCAGGGCGCGTCCTACCACTGGGGTAAGTTTTCGGAAAATAGGAACCCCTCCCTAGTACCACTTTCACAGATTTTCCCAAGTTCCTACCGCTTTTTCCAATTTCCAGAATTTACCTGGGAGTTTCTAGTTCTCCCCTCAAAATGCTACGAACGAGGGCAGAGAGGGAGACCACGAGAAGAACTTTCTTCTAATGCCGCGAATTTCTTCCAGAAGCAAATACGACTCCCTGCTGAGAACTCCCCAGCGTACGACGTGGTCTGTCCGCAATACACGTCGATAGAGTTGTCAAGAGGGGTCAGATGGATTCTGGAATACGATCCACCGACTAAAATCATGAATGGTAATGAGACGCACCAGGTTCCTTCTTGCGACCATTCGAGATTTCCCAATCTTACTCGTTTGCGGTCAGGGGTGTTTTTTCTTAATATTAAATCATCCTGAAAAACACATGTTGCTGCTTTTCCAACAATGAAGGTGAAACAACAGAAGTGAATGTTTGCTCTTGGAAAGCAGTGGATGAGCATAGTTTACGGAGAGGGCAAGTAGGAATTCTAGTCCCTTGCCTCATTTTGCCACCCATTCTCGTGGTTCTAGTCTTCAGATGGAGTACCAAGCGAGATTTGAAGGCATATTCCTCGTTGGTCTCCTGACGGAAGACATACTTTTACAGTCAACTATTGTGCCTTTTTCGTTTGTGCGCATTTGCTGCTGGCACTGAGATGCTAAAGAGGAGGGGAGGGGGAGTGTCCATGAGGGAAGCACAATCGCTGACTGTCGCCACCCTCACGAACAGCGCTGGCAGTGCCTTTCACCTGCTCTGTTTTGCGTCAAACCTAAAGGCCTGGGCAAGGGCAGACTCTGCTATTAATGAGAGATTCATCAGAAAGCGCCCATGTAGTTGACGGGTTAATGCAATTTGGTAAATTATAATGGTTTAGGCTGCGTTTATACTTTGCGGCAGCGTAGCGTAGCGTAGCGCAGCGTAGCGTAGCGCTTCCAGCGTACGCCAGCGGCAGTGCCGAAGAGAGGATGCATATCGATCTAGCTTCACCAGCGTCACCAGCGGCACGCTGGCGTACGCTAGCGGCACGGCTAGCATGCGTTTCACTGGGTGCGCTAGCGGCACGCTGGCGTAGCGAGGGCACGGGAAGCATAGCTATCGATCTAGCTTCACCAGCGTTTCTCCAGCGTTTTCCCAGCGCTTCCAGCGACGGGGCTAGAGAGGGGCTAGAGAGCACTGGACGGAGGAGAGTACTTTGTACGCTGGAGAAACGCTGGTGAAGCTAGATCGATAGCTATGCTTCCCGTAGCACACCGCACGCCAAGCGTGCGCTTAAGACGTAGCCGCTGGCCAACAGGCGTACGCGAGCGTGCCGCTAGCGACACGCTAGCGCACCAGCGTGCTCGCTGTGACGCTTGTGTAGTGAAGTAGATACGATATGACATCCTATCTCTCATCGGCATGCCGCTGGCGATACGCTGAGAGAGCAGCTACGCCTACGCATGCCGCAAGTCTAAACGCACAGCCTTTATGGGACAAGTTTTCCACAGAGAACTTGGAAGTGGTCCCGCGGCTAGCTCTACACGAAATCAGTGTGGTCAATTTTCCAGCTGGAAACGTATCTCTCGCCCATTATACTTGAAAACTTTCTAAATGCAGTCTGGGCGCTGCTGTGTCAGGAAGGGCGGAATGAGCCCGTATTTGGCTGAATTGCTCTACCAAGGTGATCGGTTAGTCATTGGTCTGGAAAGAAAACAACCAGTGGTGAGAAAGCTGCGGATGGGTTCTTCCCATCCCTTTTGAGACTGACCTGATGGCTTTGCAGTTTCATCGTACATGTAGCTTTACGCCCATTATGCCCCGAACAAGTAAAGAATAAGGAAACCCACAATGCTCGCAGCGTCGAACAATTCAGCTTTGCTGGGCTGGAAGGCGTACGTAGCGTAAAGCGACACCAGAAGACATTGCCATATCATCAAGACGTTGAGATAAACTGAAAGTCCATGAAACAGTAGCTTTACTATTTATGTACAGTCATGATCCCTAGAAACGATAAGGCGTGTGACGGGACGTGGAATGAAGCCGAAACAGCCTTTCTCACTAATTGTTGCGGATTCCAGATGGCTTAGCTGGGGGAAGACGCCACCCTGGCGGCGCCGCAGTCCACGTTTCATTACACGCCCTATCAGTTGCAGGGATCATAGCCGTATGCCCCGTGATATGATCGTCTAGAACATCACGAGTAGAATCTATCGTATCAGCACATTGCTTGCTGGAAAGAGGAGGGAGGAGATCGTTTCCAGGAAAACGATCACTCGACCCTGCGCCTAATCGTCGTGTAAAAACATTTCTGGGAGCCATTGGGTAAGCCGGTGAGACTGCAGGCAGCACTAATTTTTCCTAGCTGAGTGATCCAAAATATTCGACGTAGAGATGGTCCCGCTATTACGTCACTAATCCACCATCCCTTTGAACAAAGTTGCATTGCGCTGCGCCCTATAGCTGGCGTAACTCGTGTCACTAGTGGCAAACAGCTGCTTCTAGCGGGAAGAAAAATCTGGAAGACATAGGGAAATCAGCAGTGAACTTACACATTGATAGACTGGAATCGGGAATCAAGTTCAGTGGTTTGATCAATCCAAATGCCACGGCGATATCTAGGACCATTTTTTGAAGTGTGGGCGCTGAGATGATGAGGTCTTGAAGATCGAACAGTAAACCAAATCCATACGACTCGAGTAGTTCCTTCAAAAACTGATTGATCTTTTCAGAGTGAGAAAATCCAACTTTCCTGCCATCTACCCTAGAAAGTTGTGCGAAATTTAATAACTTGAAAGGGCGCATTGCAGCAGGGCACAGCATTAGTTGGGGATTTTGTCGAGCCTCTACGACCCCCCCCCCCTTTTTTTGGGAGTTGGTACGACCCCCCCCCCAGCCCTCTGTCCTTCCTCATCGAATCGAGCCGTCGAGCGGGGGGGGGGGGGGGGGGGCAACATGTGAAAACAGGAAAAAGCCCGTGAACAATACACCCCATTCTAATAATACAGATTTTCGCCTAACTGCTGCCTTTTTTTTAGCCAAAATTGCCCCGAAAATCCCATAACTTTCTAACCAAAATATTTTGCTCATCTCGAACGGGGGGGGGCAATATAATAAGCGCTGTATTAAACTTTTTAGGAAAATTGCTGTCCGAGGGGGGCAATATAAGTAAGTGAAAATCACCAAAAAGATGACGCGCCACTGCCCACAAACAGCACAAAAACGTAAAATACACCGCCCTCCCCAAAAATGACCAAGTACGAGCCCCCCCTTTACAACGTCCATGAAGCGAGAAAAATCAACTATCAAAATAAATTTTTCCCAACCCAAATACACCCCCCCTCCTTGCGACCAATACGACCCCCTCGCCCCATTGGGAAATTCCCCAAGAACGATTGGCCTGCAGGACAGTCAAAACCGCATTAGCTGGGTGTTGCAGCGAATATTTGGTATGTGTTTCCAGTCCCTATATGATTTTTCATGAAACCGCTACGAGGTGCTGTGTGCCTTGGGAGGAGGGCCATCTGCAATACAGCATTATCTCCTGGTGAATATATAGTGGTCGAGGAGGGAATGGGAGCCCTCCGAAGATGGTGAAAGACCTATCGCTTGTGGAAACTGTAATGTCTGAAGCGGCTCACCCTCTAGAGTACCCTCTGCCTTCTTCAGAAGTCAATTACTTCAGTACCGAGACAAGACAAACTGGCCCTTCCGGAGATTTATAGCCCTCCGTTGCAGTTGCCGCTTACCGAGGCATCAACCCGTGGGTGGTCCCAACGTAGTGAGAAGGTATTTCATATGTTCTCACAACATCTATGAACTCTTCGCTCTTGGCACGAGCATCTCATGAACGGCGGAACTTGTCTATTGTCCTAATTCGACTGCTTTTGCCTTCCCTACAGGTCACGTTCCTCAGTGCCGGATGGAAGCATGTTTATTTCTAGGTTTTCCCTGCCCCTTTCGTTTCTTCACCATTCGTCCAAACTCGTTCTTCTTCTAAGGAGTTTTCACACGTACTCGACATCATTTCAGCATGACAGCTAAGGGAACCAGTCACTTAGAGCCTAAGTGGTGGCTCACGCCTGACAAGGACTGCCGATGCGTGGTATGCCAATTCAAAGCGGTCGGCCCGTGCTTTACCCATCTTGCCTTTAACCGGCTGATGGTGTTTCGCTTCAAATGGCCTACATGCCCATGACCCATCTTGGATTTGCTGTTGTTTAGCTGTAGACTCCTACACCACACAAGTGGTAATGGAACGAATGCCGGTGTTCCTGGCGTCTCTACTTCATGCCTTTCTGCACTGGCTTGAAAAAAGCTGCACATTCATCTCCAAGGATGATCCTTGTCGTGTGTGAAGCGGTTCGGTTCCGCAGCTGCAGTAGCGCTCAACTTGCTCCGCTCGAAATGCTTTCGACCGGGGAATGTGGCACGCTTTCTGCAGCTGTGGATGCAAACTTCCCACACATGGCAACTAGCACGACCCAGGAAGGTGAAAGCACACGGGCGAAAGACGAACAAAATATCACAGCTCACGCCAAAATATCACAACCCACGCCTCGTAAAAAATGGGGCCATAATTTTACGTTTTTGGCTGCTCCCTTTGGTTTCGTAAGCTTGGCTGTCTACTTTGCACCTGCATTTGTGAAACTTGTGTAATTCCCACTATTCTTATTTTATTATCATTGGATGTGCCTCCAAGTACATTCGAAATCCCTGAGATACGGTAGGCGTGGCTGCGTGCTTGAATTGAACGAAGGCGGGTCAAGGTTTTTGTGAGATATTTTCATTTTGGGACAGTTGTAATCATGTTTTTGTCCAACACAGATTGTCTCGAGCTGAAATATATACCAATGACCCCTTCCATGCCATGTTTAGATGCCACGCCTACTCCATCTCAGGGATAAGGGATGTAATAGAGAGCGATTTAATGAGATAAATAGTATGTAAGCAAATTGTTTCAGACATACCTTTACAGTATCCACCAAAGCGTGTCCGAAGTACTGGGAAATGTTCATTGAAACAACGGTTATTATGTTAGTCGCCGTGAAGAATCTGTAAAAAATTTTGGATGGAAGTCCTCCAAGTTGCACTAACAGTCAGGGCACGTCGAGGGGTTGTGGAAAACATTCGCTCAGTGCGAAAGCCCTCCTTCTTCCCCCCCCCCCCCCCCAAAGTTCCGAACTTTTTCTTCCAACCCACTTTGTTACCAGGCCACCTGAATCACCGAACTTCCTCAGAATTGTGCTGCCGATTAAGAAACACCGATGAGGGGAAGGAGAAAATCAAAAATTGAAATTTTTCTGAGCCTGAGCCAAACACGACTCCCCAGCGACCCAACCCTCTCCTCTTTGGGAGCCACCTCATGGTCAGGGATTTGAAAGATACCTATACCGGGTAAAATTGACAAAGTTGAAGAAATGGAACAGAATTGAAACCTACATATTACTTTTTTTTCTTAGCTCGAAGTAAACGACTAATTCGCATATTTGCATTAGTATTCGCACAAATACCGTTTGAATAATTAAGGCTTCTATTCTTAGCATGTTCTCCCTGAGAAATTATCTTCTAAAAACATAGCAAAAATTTTCTATTGCCGCAGAACGCCCTTCTTACGCATTTTGGCACAATGCTCACTAGGAATATCCATGTTACAATTTGATTCTACCTCTCAGGTAATCCTATATATGCTCCCAACCCTACCTGCATGAGCGTAATGTCAATCTGCTCATCTGCGCCCTCTCTCCAAGGTAGTGTTCGAGAGAGCTCTGATGTGGTCCCGTCTATATTTCGCGCAGGATCTCTATAGTTACTAACATGTTAGCGTATATGAACAATTGTCACTAATCTACAGCGGGGGCCAAAAAAAAGACACTTTGGCCGAGTCACATATCAGTAAAGTTTACGCAGCCCAGACAGAAGACGTGGATACGAGTACCAGGGCGGAAGATACCCAAGATGTTCCTCGATAAGCAGGAGCTGGCTCTCGCCCATCACCTTCATGTACACCAATATGAAGTCATCTCCAGTCGCAGCCTGACTGGAGAAGACCTTTGGAATTCATGTCACCTCCAAACAGCTGCGAAACTTCTAGTATGGAGTCACCCATGGATAGCTACCTGGAGACCAGTACTCTCGATCTGAAGACCTCCAACATCGAGCAGCTCCGACAACGTCGCCACGGTCCAGGATCATCTTCACCGCAGTCGCCAAGGCGCGGGTTGATGGTATGGACCGGAAGTTCCTGGAATGGGAAGACCGATATTTTCTTCGTGGACCCCGGACTGAAAGTGAACGCTGACGGTTACATCGACCAACTCGAGGAGAATATCCATCGATCGCTCACTCCAGGCTATTGCCATCCTGAAAACGTCGTACTGCTATAGGATTGGGTGGCCAATACATGAAATCGAGGGGCGGTGAGAACCTGAAGAAGGTGTAATATTCAAGTGCGTCTCCTGACTTGAACACCCTCGATTACCGGGTCTCGGAAAGAACAGGGTGGTCCACAGTGGCGGAGAGATCAACGACCTTGCTGAACTCAGGAAATCACCGCCGCTGAAAGAATCTCTCGATGACGTTCATCCAAGAGGTTGTAGCGGAGTTTCGTGATCCTCTACAACGCGTTAATAAATTTGGTGGTGAAAATGTACAAGTATTCAATAAAGTGTAACTATACCGCCTTGAAGTTCGAGGAAGAAAAGTGTCTATTTCTTGCCCCCTGTATAGTCATTCCAGACTACCTTGCTGTGAATGGGGGACGAGGGGCACAGAGCATCGTAACACTTGTCCGGCGCTGTTTGTCGACGGGGGGCATTTTGTACTACCATTGCTTCCCTAGTTCCGGTTTACAAATCTCACCCTGGTAAAACTTGTGAACCCTTGTGAAGCTGGTGCAAGATAGTCTAGCCACCATCCCTAAAACGTGTCAACTCGAGAAAAGGCTCCTAGATGGGTCGGCACATCTATGGAAAGCAGAATGCCCCCGTCGACAAACTGCGCCCACTTGTCCTCCCTCCCCTCCATCTCATCCCCTACACTGGCCTCATGTTCATCTCTAGTGGCTGCTACTAACTTCGAACTGAATAAACTTAAAGACACGGTCCGAGATAAGGAGCGTAGGTGTTGGCGGCGAAATGTGGAAGTTGTCGGGTGACTCGTCCATGAACAGAAAATGCCGAAGGAAAACGGCGGAACACCTTTAATATGACCCCTTATGCTTCAAACAATTGCATGGATGAAATGCTAAAAAAACCGCTTGTTAGAGCGACT